CCTGAGTAGCTGGGACCACAGGCGCCCGCCACCACACCCGGCTAATTTTTTTTTTTGTATTTTTAGTAGAGACACCACACCTGGTTAATTTTTTATTTTTAGTAGAGACAGGGTTTCACCGTGTTAGCCAGGATGGTCTCGATCTCCTGACCTCGTGATCTGCCCGCCTCAGCCTCCCAGAGTGCTGGGATTACAGGCGTGAGCCACTGCGCCTGACCTGGAACATTTTTATAATGTTACTTTCAAGTTTTTGTCAGAAAATTCTAGCATCTATGTCATATCAATACTGACTGACTTTTGCTATGTTAGTTGAAATTTTCCGGGTTTTTTGCTTTTTGTTTTTTTGTTTATACTAAGTAATTTTGGATTGTATCCTGGACATTTTAAATAACACATTATGAGACTCTGGATTTTTTTTTTTTTTTTTTGTGATGGTGTCTTGCTCTGTCACCCAGGCTGGAGTGAGTGCAGTGGTGCATCTTGGCTCACTACACTACCTAAGTTCAAGCGATTGTCCTGCCTCAGCTTCCCAGGTAGCTAGGACTATAGGCACGTGCTACCACGCCTGACTAATTTTTGTATTTTTAGTAGAGACGGGGTTTCACTATGTTGGCCAGGCTGGTCTCGAACTCCAGACCTCAGGTGATCTGCCTACCTTGGCCTCCCAAAGTGCTGGGATTACAGGCGTGAGCCACAGGGCCCAGCCAAGACTCTGGATCTTATGGATAATTTTGACCTTGTTTTGATAAGCATTAAACCTGGTTGGGTTCAGGCCACAAGTTCCAACCAGGCTTTTTTAATTTCAATGTCAGTTTCAAAGCCTTTTTTCCTTTCTAGGCAGATCTCTTTGTAGGCTATGGTCTTTTCCTTAGTTCAGTTCTCAAAGTCTTTGTTATGCTCCTTAGGATTAGATTCACATAGGTACAGTTTGGAGGGGGAGCCCAGCAGTTCATAAGCAACTTAATGGGGTCACTTGCCCAATCTCCTCCCTCTCTGTGATGTCCCCAGTACCTTCCTGTTCCTTGGGGCTCCCTATTTTAGTTCTCTGACCAGAAAGTGACGCTTTACTTACCCAATATCTCATAACTGCACCTGAATCCAGGACAAGGTGGCAAAAGGACACAGAGAGAACAAGCAACAGAGATTCAACCCATCTTATTGGGACCCTATGCTTTATTATCATTTTATTTATTTATATATTTATGAGATGGAGTCTCACTCTGTCGCCCAGGCTGGAGTGCAGTGGCACAAATCTTGGCTCACTGCAACCTCTGCTTCCTGGGTTCAAGTGATTCTCCTACCTCAGCCTCCCGAGTAGCTGGGATTACAGGTATGCACTACCACACCCCACTAATTTTTTTTTTTTTGAGACAGAGTCTCGCTCTGTCACCCAGCCTGGAGTGTAGTGGCTCGATCTCAGCTCACTGCAAGCTCCGCCTCCCGGGTTTACGCCATTCTCCTGCCTCAGCCTCCCGAGTAGCTGGGACTACAGGCACCCGCCACCTCGCCCGGCTAGTTTTTCGTATTTTTTAGTAGAGACGGAATTTCACCGTGTTAGCCAGGATGATTTCGATCTCCTGACCTCGTGATCTGCCCGTCTCGGCCTCCCAAAGTGCTGGGATTGCAGGCTTGAGCCACCGCGCCCGGCCCACTAATTTTTGTATTTTAGTAGAGACAGGGCTTCACCATTTTGGCCAAGCTGATCTTGCACTCCTGACCTCAAGTGATCTACCCACCTCGGCCTCCCAAACTGTTGGGATTACAGGCGTGAACCACCGAGCCCAGCCCACGCTTTGTTATTTTATTTCCAGTTGGAGAGGAGGGTTCGTCTGTCAGTTTTAGGGGCATATTGGCTTACTATCACCTCCATTGCTACCAGGAAACTCCTTTTCTACTCCCTGAGCCTGAACTAGAGGGACTTCTCCTCTAGCTCCCTGTCTGTGCTCAGCTCCTTCCAAGTTTTGGGCTACCTTGAGTCCAGCCTGCAGACTACTAGAGTGAAAAAAATGGAGCTGGGTGTGCTGGCACAGGCCTGTAGTCCCAGTTACTCAGGAGGCTGAGGTGGGAGGATTGCTTGAGGCTAGGAGTTCAAGACCAGCGTGGACAACATAGTGAGAATCCTGTCTCTTACAGAATATTTTTTTAAGATGGTCACCAGGTTTAATGGTACTTCAAATTTACATCTTCTCCCCAAATCTACCTGTTATTATTTACTTTTCAGGGTCTTGAAGTAGATGCTTCATGCATCCTGATCAGGTTTTACAGCCGCCTTCTGTGGGAGGGAGACGGGAGAGTATACGTAGTACCTCCTCAAAACTGGGACCTCTCTGGTTGCTTTTAGGATTTTTTTCTCTTTAACTTTGGTTTTCTTCAGTTTGACCATGGTGTGCCTATGTGTAGTTTTCTTTGTATTTTTCTTGGTTGAGATTCACTCAGTTTCTTGAAATGTACATTAATGACTTTCATCGATTTAGGGAAATTCTCTGTCATCTCTTCAAAGATTTATTTTGCTTCCTTGTCACCTTTTGAGACTCTAATGATTATACATATGCTATTCCTTTGATATTGTCCTCCATTTCTCTTATGCTTTATTCTTTCTTTTATTCTACATGTTTTCTCTCTGTGCTTCAGTTTATATAATTTTATTCATCCATCTTTGAATTATCTGAATCTTTTGCTGTGCTTAGTCTTTTTATTTTTTTATTTTTTATTTTTTGCCTTAAACTAAAAAATCCTAAATACACATTAAAATAAAAAATGTTAAACTTGGCCAGGCACAGTGGCTCATGCCTGTAATTCTAGCACTTTGGGAGGCCAAGGTGGATGGATCACTTGCAGTCAGGAGTTCGAAACCAGCCTGGCCAACGTGGTGAAACCCTGTCTTTACTAAAAATACAAAAAAATGCCAGGCGCGGTGGGTCATGCCTGTAATCCCAGCACTTTGGGAGGCCGAGGCGGGTGCATCACGAGGTCGGGAGATCGAGACCATCCTGGCTAACATGGTGAGACCCGTCTCTACTAAAAAAAATACAAAAAATTAGCCGGGCGTGGTGGCGGGGGCCTGTAGTCCCAGCTACTCAGGAGGCTGAGGCAGGAGAATGGCGTGAACCCGGGAGGCGGAGCTTGCAGTGAGCTGAGATCGCGCCACTGCACTCTAGCCTGGGCAACAGAGCGAGACTCCATCTCAAAAAAAAAAAAAAATTAGCCGTGCGAGGTGGCAGGCACCTGTAATCCCAGCTACTCAGGAGGCTGAGGCAGGAGAACCACCTGAACCCAGGAGGCAGAGGTTGCAGTGAGCCGAGATCACGCCACTGGACTCCATCCTGGGCAACAGAGCGAGATTCTGTTTAAAAAAAAAAAAAATTGTTCATCTCATTGTATTTTTTTTTTAATTTCTCGTGTTTGAAATAAGTGATGGAACTGGAAGCATAAATAACTATTATTAACTGTATCTTCTTTTTTCCAAAAAGGTTTTTAAAATATTATATTATTAGTTGAAGTATCTCAATTTTCTAATCTGGGGTAAGACTTTAAAAGGAACAAATAATAGAAGAGGGAGTATATTTTCTTCCCTCTGTAGTAGCTGACTAGCTCCTCTATGAATAAGGAAGATTATAATGTTCATTTATTCAACTTTTTAACAAATATTTATTGACTACCTACCATGCAACAAGTTGAAGATTTTTTTTTTCCTCTTTTGAGACAGGGTCTTGTTCTGTCACCCAGGCTGGAGTGCAGTGGCACAATCACGGCTCACTGCGGCCTCAGCCTCCCCGGGCTCAGCTGATCCTCCCACCTCAGCCTCTCAAGTAGCTGGGACTACAGATGTATACCACCAACCTGGCTAACTTTTGTATTTTTTGTAGAGATGGGGTTTCGCCGTGTTGCCCAGGCTGGTCTTGAACTTCTGGGCTCAAGCAATTCACCCACCTTGGCCTCCCAAAGTGCTGGGATTACAGGCATGAGCCACAGTGCCTGCCCAAGTTGAAGGTATCTTAACTTGGTTAAATGACAATTCTACCACTTAACAGAGTTTCCCCCAAATCCATTTAATATCGTACTTGGAGTTGTATACCAATTCCCCTGCCTCCAAGAGTTCAGCGGGAGAGACTAGGTAGTCTGACTTCACTTGGCATTCCTTTCTTCCTCATTTCATTTTATTCATAACCAGAGCTTTTTTTTTTTTTTTTTTTTTTTTTTTTTTTTTTATTTCATTTTATTCATAACCAGAGCTTTTTTTTTTTTTTTTTTTTTTTTTTTTTTTTTGAGACAGTAACCACTGTGTCGCACAGGCTGGAGTGCAGTGGTGCAGTCATGGCTCACTGCAGCCTCAAACTCCTGGGCTCCAGGAATCCTTCTGCTTCAACCTCCTGAGTAGCTAGGACTACAGATGCATGCCACCATACCTGGCTAAGTTTTAAAGGTTTTTTTTGGTAGAGAGGGGGTCTCGCTTTGTTGCCCAGGTTTGTCTTGAATCTTCCCAGCTTCAAGCAGTCCTCCCACCTCTGCCTCCCAGGGTGCTGGGATTACAGACAAAAGCCACCACGCTTGGCACCAGAAAAAGTTTTATCAAACATGTATTAAGTATGTGCCAGGCAATTTACTGAGCACTAGGAGATACAAAGACCACTAAAACATGATCCCTAGCCTTAATGGAATTTTATATTTCAGTAGGACATAAACATAAATAGGTACCACAAGGTATTAGAAATGTGATAGAAATAAATATATGGTACAGGGGAGGCAGAGTAGAAGTAGTCATTTCTACCATAGGCAAAAAGGTTTACTAGGGGAGATTAAAACTGACACTGAGTTTTATAATGTAAGTAGAAGTTGCCTGGAAAGGATGGGATAGGAGAACAAATTATTTTTCCAGCAAAATATCATGTAATTTATTTAAAATACAAAAATAGCCCAGTGAGACTTTTGGTATAAAACTTGAAGGAAATTTTTATTTTTCTAATTTATCTCTTCCCCCTAATTTTAAAAAATCTTTAAAGGTTATCAACTGGCAAACATCTCTTCACATTCCACCACAAGCTAAACTCAGTCCTGAAGCTTCTGATCTTATTATTAAACTTTGCCGAGGACCCGAAGATCGCTTAGGCAAGAATGGTGCTGATGAAATAAAAGCTCATCCATTTTTTAAAACAATTGATTTCTCCAGTGACCTGAGACAGCAATCTGCTTCATACATTCCTAAAATCACACACCCAACAGATACATCAAATTTTGATCCTGTTGATCCTGATAAGTTATGGAGTGACGATAATGAGGAAGAAAATGTAAATGACACTCTCAATGGATGGTATAAAAATGGGAAGCATCCTGAACATGCATTCTATGAATTTACCTTCCGAAGGTTTTTTGATGACAATGGCTACCCATATAATTATCCGAAGCCTATTGAATATGAATACATTAATTCACAAGGCTCAGAGCAGCAGTCGGATGAAGATGATCAAAACACAGGCTCAGAGATTAAAAATCGCGATCTAGTATATGTTTAACACACTAGTAAATAAATGTAATGAGAATTTGCAAAAGGGCCTGAAATGCGAGGTGTTTTGAGGTTCTGAGAGTAAAATTATGCAAATATGACAGAGCTATATATGTGTGCTCTGTGTACAATATTGTATTTTCCTAAATTATGGGAAATCCTTTTAAAATGTTAATTTATTCCAGCCGTTTAAATCAGTATTTAGAAAAAAATTGTTATAAGGAAAGTAAATTATGAACTGAATATTACAGTCAGTTCTTGGTACTTAAAGTACTTAAAATAAGTAGTGCTTTGTTTAAAAGGAGAAATCTGGTATCTATTTGTATATATGCTAAATAATTTTAAAGGACAAGAGTTTTTGAAATTTTTTTGAAAGACAGTTTTAGTTTTATCTTGCTTTAACCAAATATGAAACATACCCCGTATTTACAGAGCTCTTTTTTCCCCTCATAACCTTGTTTTTGGTACAAAATAAGCTAGAGAAATTAAGCCATCATGTTGGTGAGTGTTCCTAGGCTAATCTTAATCTGTATAATTCACATCCTGAAACTAAGGAATACAGGGTTGAAAAAATATTAATGTTTGTCAGAAGGAAAAATAATGCATTTATCTCCCCGCCCCCATGGAATATTTAATCTTCTTGCATTTATTTCTCAAGAATTACTGGCTTTAAAAGAAGCCAAAGCACTACTAGCCTTTTTTCCATATTGTTATTTTTGATGCTGCTTCCAATTTTAAAAGGGAACAAAGCTGCCATAAATAAAAATTTTCAGTACTGAAAGCTAAAATTTTTTTCATCATCCTAAGCAAAGAATTATTTTCATGTTCATATACTTTTCCTGTATAGTAACTATTTTGATTATATCATCAATGTTACCTGTTTCCTCTTTCAGAACAGTGCTGCATATACAGATTGTTATTGGCAAAGGAAAATCTGGCTATCTGGCAATATTTTACTTAAGGGCAGATTAATTGGTGAAAAAATTAACTCTTAAGATGGCCATTAATAATTAGAAAAATTTACAGAGTGGTCTTAGTAGAAAATTCAAGTCCTCCTAATTTATTTAAGGTTAAATAATGTGTTCAACATGCCTATTATGTATAATGCTTAGGTTCTAAGGAAGATTAAGGTTTCATACCAAAATACATGAGCTTATCTTTTAGGAAGGGGAAAAAGGCTCTATTTTGACCATAGTAAAATTTGTATTTTATTTCCTTTTCTTAAGCTCCACTGATAAGGGATTGTTTTTATCAAAAGTTACTATTTGGGGATTGGAGGCATAATTTTAATGATTTTCATACTTTTAGCTTTCTTCACATAAAAGCTAATTGAAACCATATATGTAATAAAATTAAAGGCAGAGCTGTTGCAGTTGAATTGGAGAGTCAGGGCAAAGAACACTTAACTAGCCCACACTTCCCACCTTTCTACAGGTGGTCCTTTCAGCTTGAAAACCTACTACTATGTTATCATGGGTCTTTCGGGGTTAGTGGTTCTTTTGAGAATCTGAAGGAAGCTGTGGACTCTTCCCAGAAAAAAAAAAAAAATCAACACATACAATGTTGCATGCAGTTTCAAGGGATTTTGGACATATTGAAACCTATCACAGGCTCTAGGTTATGGACCTCTGTCCCTTGAGAAAATTGATATATTAAACTAAGAACTTTGTTTTTAACTTACCAATCACTACTCAGCACATCTTATATAAACTGATAATTTGTGATGGAAAAGGTCCGTAACATGTGATGTAAGGTGACCTTATGAATGCCCCTCTTGCTGGTACATTAAGTTGTTTTAAATGTATCATTTGGAGGGGACTGAAATGTTGGACTCATGACAAGCTTGATACAGAAATATTTCTGAAGGATTTCTAATTGGAATTGTAAGAAAATGTGCTCTCATGAAATGGCAGTCTTCACCTCATGGTTCATGGAACATTTGGTTAGTCCCATAAAATCCTATGCAAAACAAAGTAGTTCAAGAATTTTTAGGTGGGTACTCACATTTATAAGGTATTCCTCTTGCTCTTTGGACTTTTTCAATCTGATTTATTTAAATTTTCATTTAGTTGTTTTACTTTTGGACTAAGGTGCAATACAGTAGAAAATAACTTTGTTACATTTATGTTGTAGGAAATCTAAGGTGCTGTCTCCTCCCCCTTCCCTTCCTACAAAATCTGTATTGCTGAAATGTAACAGACACTACAAATTTTGTATTCTTTTTTTGTATTTTGTTTTGAGACAGGGTCTCACTCTGTCACCCAGGCTGGAGTGCAGTGGCGCTTCACAGCTCACTGCATCCTCGACATTTGGGGCTCACGCAGTCCTCACACCTCAGCCTCCCGAGTAGCTGGGCATGCGCCACCAAGCCCGGCTAATTTTTGTATCTTTAGTAGAGATGGGGTTTTGCCATGTTGCCCTGGTTGGTCTGGAACTCCTGGGCTCCAGTTATATGCCCACCTCAGCCTCCCAGAGTGCTGGGATTACAGACGTGAGCCACCGCGCCTGGCGCAAATATGTGTTCTTTTAAAATTTCCTCTGATACTATAAGCCTTTTGCATTTATCTGAAGCAGTATACATGCCTTTGGTATCAGCAATTTTAACAGTTTGGATATACTTATCAGCTATCTTATTCCAAAACTACATCTACTTCCAGTATAGAATCTGGTGCTTCCTGACCAAAAAGATGAGAAAAACAATGTTAAAAATATAGATACTTTCCATTGAAATGGAGTGAAAACGTTGGTTCTGTATGTTTTCTTTTAAAATAATTTTCTCATAAAAACTTGCTGTCTTTATTGTACTTACCCTTTTTATGCATATCAATAGTATTTATAAGATGTGTTCTATAATTATGTAATTGTAGATACTGTTACGTATTGTCCAGTGACATCATAAGGCAGGCCCTACTGCTGTATCTTTTCTACCTTCTTATTTGTAATAGAAACTATAGAATGTATGACTAAAAAGTCACTTTGAGATTGACTTTTTTAAAAAGTTATTACCTTCTGCTGTTGCAAAGTGCAAAACTGTGAGTGGAATTGTTTTATTCTGACTTAATATGTTAGAAATTAGAGAATACAGTGGGAGGATTTGTAGACATTGCTGCTGCTGTTACCCAAGGTATTTTAGATCAAAAAATTTAATAAACAAAAATCCCTTTGGTATTTAAAGTGGAACATTTAGCCTGTTCATTTTAATCTAAAGCAAAAAGCAATTTGGGTCAAAATATTGGTATATTTGTAAAGCGCCTTAATATATCCTTTTGTGGAAGGCACTACACAGTTTACTTTTATATTGTATTGTGTATATAAGTATTTTGTATTAAAATTGAATCAGTGGCAACACTAAAGTTTTATAAAATCATGCTTTGTTAGAAAAGGAATTACAGCTTTGCAATATAACTAATTGTTTTGCATAATTCTGAATGTAATAGATACGAATAATCAGCCTGTGTTTTTAATGAACTTGTTTGTATTTTCCCAATCATTTTCTCTAGTGTAATGTTTGCTGGGATAATAAAAAAAATTCAAATCTTTCAATTATGTGTGGAAAGCTAATTTTTACACTGTTTAACTATGTTGTTTTTTAATTCAAAAATTTATGTAAATTTTTTTTTTTTTTTTTTTTTTTGAGATGGAATCTCGCTCTGTCGCCCAGGCTGGAGTGCAGTGGCGCGTTAAATATTTTTATTCTCTGAGAAAGTTATGATTAAAATTTTGATGCTTTGGAATTAAAATAACTAATGATAGTACTTAGGTTAAGGCAAACTGAATATCATGTAAATGTCATGTTTTCATTTAAATGTTTTCATTTTGTCCAATATAAGTACAGTATTTCCTGTTAAGGGCCTCCATTAGATTACAGGTTTAGAATTTAATGATTAAATTTTACATTTAGTACCATTTGATTACGGTATATAATTTTAATTTTTTTTTTGTTTTATTTCTTAGAGATGGTCTTGCTCTGTCACCCAGGCTGGAGTGCAGTGACATGATCAAAGCTCACTTTAACTTACACCTGGGCTTAAGCTGTCCTCCTGCCTTTTTCTCCCAAGTAGCTGGGACTACAGGAGTGTGCCACCATACGTGGCTAATTTTTTATTTTTATATTTATAGAGATGGGATCTCGCTAAGTTGCCCAGTCTGATCTCAAACTGCTGGATACAAGTGACCCTCCCGCCTCTGCCTCTCAAAGTATTGGGATTACAGACCTGAACCACTGTGTCAAAATATATATGTTGATATTATATCTTATATCAGCTTTATATGGATGAAAAACAAGTACTGTTTTTCCTCCTCTTTTTAAGCATTACCATCATTATATCTTCTTTTATCCTCTTGTTTGCACTCCCTTGTAAGTTTGTATTTGTTCTACATAAGTCTGTTGTACAGATGACACAAATTGCATTATTCCTATGGTTTATTGTACTACATTGTGGGCCCACATTTGGTATACTTAAAATTGTGACTATACTTTGCTTCACACACACGCACACACATGCACATCTGCTTGTGTATGTGAAGAGTAGAGGGAGGTCACCAAACAGTTATTGTCCAGTTTTTCCTCCTTTCTTTCAGTAACAGAGCTACCCAGAGATTCCGAACATTTTGTTAGATTTAGGCTATGAATGGAACTTTGGGTTGTTTCCCTTGAGGAAGGGTTAAATTTGTTCTGCAGGAGAAGAAAAAGATTCTCATGAATACCTAGCGCACAGAGGGGTTGACAAATGACAGAGGCCACTCTTGCTTCCCAGTATCCACTCTCCCATTTTTCCTTTTACTAATAGAGCCAATATCCCTTTCTAAGTTTTGACTACCCCGGTAGAGTCCATGTTTCTCCTATTCCTTTGTAATTAGTTTTGGGCACACGACTAGGTTTTGGTCATTGGGACATTAGCAGACGTGGTATGTGCTAATTATACATATAATTAAAGTTGACATTGTTTGCCCACCACTTGCTCTTTACCTCTTCCCATAGGATGGAACACGTACATAGTGGTGATTTTATATTGACCATGAACATTAGAAAAACACTCTAGTGGCTGGACACAGTGGGTCACTCCTGTAATCCCAGCACTTTGGGAGGCCGAGGCGGGTGGATCACGAGGTCAAGAGATCGAGACCATGCTGGCCAACGAATGTGGTGAAACCTGTCTCTACTAAAAATACAAAAATTAGCTGGGCATAGCGGCGCACACCTGTAGTCCCAGCTACTCAGGAGGCTGAGGCAGGAGAATCGCTTGAACCTGGGAGGTGGAGGTTGCAATGAGCCAAGATTGAGCCACTGCACTCCATCTCAAAAAAAAAAGAAAAAAGAAAAACACTCTAGTGATGGTGAATCAACCAAATGATTACATTCTGGTTACCTGAGAGATTATGTGAAGCAGGGTCATCTTTCCAGTCTGAACTGATCAACTGCAGAATGTGAGAGAGAGGGGAGAAAAGTTGTATCTATATATATAATATATATCCATTTGTTACTGCTGCTGAGCCTATACCTTAAGTAATACAGCATATAATTTGTATTAGTGTATAACCTGATTTGCAGAATGACTTAACAAAGTCATTTTGTATTTTGACCATCTGCTGTGGACTCAACTATAAAATTCAGTTATTTTACCTCTTAGGTTTTTCTCTAATTCATCATCTTTATTCTCGTTGTTAACTAATTTGGTTAAGGTCCTCATCAGCCTGAATTAATGTAATAATTTTCTAACATGAGTCTTTACTTTATTCTGGTACCTTAAGTTTATCATCCAACCTGTCACCAAAATGACCTTAAAAGATAATTCCAGATTCTGCTTCTAATACAACCAATCAGATCCTAATGGATTTACTGTATCACAGCTAACAACTATAAAGACTGGGGGCAAAAACTCAACTACCTAAAGATATTGGAATGGAACAAGACCAGGCAAATTCTGGAAGGGAGCTGATCCTTGGAAGAGAGGAATGGCACTAGATAAGTATTCCGTTTTTATGACATCTTGCCTGAGAAAGGCCCAAATCTTTGGCTGAATCATGAATCAAATATGTAGGGAAGGCTGGGCACGGTGGCTCACGCCTGTAATCCCAGCACTTTGGGAGGCTGAGGTAGGCAGATCACTTGAGGTCAGGAGTTTGAGATCAGGCTGGCCACATTGGTGAAACCCCATGTCTACTAAAAATACAAAAATTAGCAGGTGTGGTGGTGCATGCCTGTAGTCCCTGCTACTCAGGAGGCTGAGGCAGGAGAATCGCTTGAATCTGGGAGGTGGAGGTTGCAGTGAGCCGAGATCACCACTGCACTCCATCCTGGGAGACAGAGACTCCAAAAGGAGAGGAGAAGTGAGGAGAGAGGAGGAGAGGGGAAGGGAGGGAAGATTACTCAAGAAAATCTACTAAAATTTGGTATGAGTTTTGAGAGTCTGTGATATCTGAACCAATATTCACTTTTAAGGGTTTTCTATCACCAATATTAAGCAATTTAATTATGATGTGTCTGGTGTCATTTTGTTTATTTTTCTTGTGCTTGGGGTTCATTGAGCTTCTTGAATCTGTGGAGCAATGGTTTTCATTAATGCAAGATTTTTTTCAGCTACCATTTTTTTTTCTTCTTCCTTTTTTTTAAAATTATACTTAAGTTCTGGGATACATGTGCAGAATGTGCAGGTTTGTTACATAGGTATACATGTACCATGGTGGTTTGCTGCACCCATCAACTCGTCATCTACATTAGGTATTTCTCCTAATGCTATCCCTCCTCTAGCCCCCACCCCCCGACAGGCCCTGGTGTGTGATGTTCCCCTCCCTGTGCCCCTATATTCTCATTGTTCAACTCCCACTTGTGAGTGAGAACATGCGGTGTTTGGTTTTCTGTTCCTGTGTTAATTTACTAAGAATGATGGTTTCCAGCTTCATCCATGTCCCTACAAAGGACATTAACTCATTCTTTTTTATGTTCAGCCACCATTTCTTCCAGTTGAGTGTATACTAAAATAATACATCTAAAAGGTAATGAGTGAATTTGGTATCTTTTGTTTTTTTGTTTTTTTTTTTGAGACAGTCTCACTTTGTTGCCCAGGCTGGAGTGCAATGGCATGATCTTGGCTCATTGCAACCTCTGCCTCCTGGGTTCAAGTGATTCTCCTGCCTCAGCCTCCCGAGTATCTGGGATTACAAGTGTCCGCCACCATGCCTGGCTAATTTTTATGTTTTTTAGTAGAGACGGGGTTTCACCATGTTGGCCAGACTGGTCTCAAACTCCTGACCTTAGATGATCCACCCGCCTGGGCCTACCAAAGTGCTGGGACGCCCGGCCCTGAATTTGGTATCCTCAATTGCCTCTGGGAATGATAAACTGGATTTGTAGGATGACAAGAATCGTAGAAATACTTCTCACTATATAGCCCTTTATATCATTTGATTTTGCATTATGTGAATGCAGTGCCTATCCAAATATATAACATAAAATGGAATTAAAAAACAAAACAACTCAAAACTTTAAGTCCAAGTGGAAGAACTGGATTTAGACAAAGGAAGATACACATTCATTGGGACATGAGGCAAAAACCAAAAGGCAGATGTGAGGCAAAGAAGTTTGTAAGTTGGAGGGTAAGAGTATTAATTTAGGTTAAGCTCAGCTGCACATAAAACCCAAAACATCCATACCTTAGACATATAATGTCTGAAGCTGGCAGTCCACTTCTGGTATGGCAGCTTCACAAAGTCATCCCACACTTCATCTGTTCAATTCTGCTGTCCTTGTCAACCTAAAATTTGCTCTGGTTAGTCGTTGGCTGCTTATGTTCTCTACACCTTGGGTGTGTGTGTTTTTTGTTTGTTTGTTTTTTGTTTTTATTTTTTTTGATACTGAGTCTAGCTCTGTCGCCCAGGCTGGAGTGAAGCGGCTCGATGGCTCACTGCAACCTCCACCTCCCAGATTCAAGCAATTCTTGTGCCTCAACCTCCAGAGTAGCTGGGATTACAGGTGCCCGCCACCACGTCCAGCTAATTTTTGTGTTTTTAGTAGAAATGAGGTTTTACCATATTGCCCAGACTGGTCTCAAACTCCTGGGCTCAAGCAACCACCCGCCTCAGCCTCCCAAAGTGTTGGGATTACAAACATGAGCCACTGCACCCAGCCTTCTTTTCCTTGTTCTAACCTGGTGAAAGGAGAGGGGGGGCAGGTGGAGGGAGATTTCTATGGCCTCTCCTTTTAAAGAAGCCTTCCTAAAAGTTCTACACAACACTTTCACTGCCAGAAGTTAGATCCATGGTCACATCTAGCAGCAAGAGTGTCTGGGAAATAGTCCTTATTCCAGGTGGCCTGATTTTATCAAACCAGGTTCTGTTACGAGAATGGGTATTTGGCATCCAGTCTCTGCCACAGTGAGCAAGCTGAGAGAATTTCTTTCTTTCTTCTTCTTTCTTTTATTATTTTTTGAGACAGAGTCTTGCTGTGTTGCCCAGGCTGGAGTGCAGTGGTGTGATCTTGGCTCACTGAAAACTCTGCCTCCTGGGTTCAAGCAATTCTCCTGCCTCAGCTTCCCAAGTAGCTG